GTAAAAAATTCCAAATAACCCCACATTTCAACGACAAAAACAAGAGGATATGCGGATGTAATATTTCCTTCTTTCTTGATTTAATAATTAAATAATTATTTCAAACCCCCCAAAAAAGCTACAGCTTTTCGATAAATTTAGGGTTAATTCCCTGTAAAATCACAATTTTTTGTTTGATTGCAAATAAAATTCGGTTTTTTTAACTTTGCATTAAAATACCAAACTTTTGTTAAGTATTGCAATTCTGTCTCAAAATCAATTTTTCGGCCAAACTACGTTGATATGTCCGATCAGAATTTTGACGTGGCACTCAACATTTTATAGGCAATTAAATATGTCTAGTTCTTTGTCATGACTCGTGTTGCTATACACAAACAGTAACACATTGATTGAAATAAAGTATTATTAGCTGAACTAATCCAAATTAATGCATGAAATAGTTGCACAATTAAGCCCTAGCTAGCTACAAATTTAAGTATATAACTTTTAACTTTTAATTAAGTATCATCACATCATCATCATCTTCCTATCTATAAAACCAGCTCTTCCCTTCTGACTCTTTTAATTTCCTCAAAAGAAAAAAAAAAGCTTCTATTTTTTACTTCAATTTCGGATATTTTCTAAATATATATATAGGCGAACTAACTAAAAAAAAAAAGAGATAGAAAAAAATGGGAAGAGCCCCTTGCTGTGACAAAGCAAATGTGAAGAAGGGACCATGGTCTCCTGAAGAAGATGCAAAGCTCAAGGATTATATCGAGAAATTCGGCACCGGTGGAAATTGGATTGCTCTTCCTCAGAAAATCGGTACACAAAATCGAGTTTTCGTTCTACTTTTGGCGCGGTCGATCCACTACTAAAATTAATAATCAAAACTTAGGTCATTAGTTTGTACATGTTATATAGCTAGCATATATAATTTTTCGACGTGTCGATTTTTAACCGAATTTAAATGTTGTGTAGGGTTGAAGAGATGTGGGAAGAGTTGCAGGCTGAGATGGCTCAACTACTTGAGGCCTAACATAAAGCATGGTGGATTTACTGAGGAAGAAGATAACATTATTTGCAGCCTCTATATCAGTATTGGGAGCAGGTAATACATAATTAATTTATTTATATTTATTTATTATTCACCTTATTAATTGTCTCATATATACACCACATATAGAAAACTCAGAGATGCTTTTCACATGCAAAGAATCAAAATTTAGAGATATACATACACACAAATACTTTGTGATTGGTATTTTAACACTAAACTACTGGTTTAATTGCGCAAAATATAACCAGTATCTTATACGTGGTGACAATAGTAGCTATATTTTGCGTGATATACATACACACAAAAGATACTAACTATATTTTGCAATTTATCTGTCGAATTTGGTTGGATTTAGGTAATAATCTCAAAATTTTGAAAGTTGTTGGCTAATATTGCCAATTCGTAAAAATGGTGGTTATTATTGCCACCGCGTACAAGATACTGATTATATTTCACAATTTAGCCTTAAACTACTTGTCCCGTTTTCCATAAAAATGATGCTTCATATTTTTCAACATATTTTTATTTAAACTCTAGTTAGTTCAATTAGGCTTTTTGTATTTTTTTCTTCTTTATGGATCCTATTCTCAATGTGAATTTTAATGGCTTGATCAACACACATGTAAACGAGTATGTGTGTGATTTAGATGGTTATTACAATTTACAAACATATTCTTGACGTTGATCTTCAAATTATGATCAAATAATTTCTTCGATTTTCTTCCCGGTACGCTAGATGGTCGATAATTGCTGCCCAGCTGCCTGGAAGAACGGACAACGATATCAAGAACTACTGGAACACGAGGCTCAAGAAAAAGCTCCTAGGCAGGCGCAGGCAGTCGAACGCGAACCGTGCCTCGGGCATTTCGGGCCAGGAGCCCAAAAATGCAACCGAAGACGAAAACAACTTTGTTTCGCAAAGCCTGAGCAGCTCGGCACTCGAAAGGATTCAACTCCACATGCATCTTCAAAGCCTTCAAAACCCTTTGTCCTTCTTCAATAATATTCCACCACTTTGGCCCAAATGGAACCCCATTCAACAAAAAACGATACAAACCCTAAATTCTCTTAGTGAGAATCATAATAACCAAAACAACAACCTAATTATCTCTCAAACTGCCCCACATGTCCATCTCCACCCGCAAAATTTCGACCATTTGAGCATTTCGAGAACTGACGAAATCGAACGTTCGGTTAGTAATCTGTCGTCTTCCGATCAAAGCTCGTTCGTGATGAACCTTGACGAGAAAGTTTTTACCGAGCAAAATGCTCAAGAGCCCGGTTTTACTCAAGCCGAGCTTGACGAGTTGCTGAATTATAGAAGTTCAGATTTTTATGGAAGTAAGATAGGTGAAAGTGATTCTTCAAATGACAATATTGGATGGTGGCCGAATGAATTCGACGCCAGCTCAGCATCGTTGAGCTCGTGGACCGGGTCGGGTAGTATGCTTCAAGATCAGGCTCAAGAGATGTACAATGATTATGTGATGAATGGACATATATATAGTAACCAATAATGAGGAAAAAAAACTACTACAAGAAGTCTATATTAATATTAATTATGTTGTGTATGAATGAGAGAATGTACTTTTCATTCAAAAGAGAGATTTAGTTTGGTAAGGTGAAGAGGGGACTTGAGAATGGAGGTTGTAAATATTGTGTGAATAATGTTTTTAAGTATTTTTTCATTGTCACAACTCACATACCAATCATATGTACTCGTGAGAGAGATGATTTTTACGACATCAATTTACTTTTCAAGTTTAATTTCCTCAATTTTCTCGAAATATGGGGCCCACCCCCATCCTTTATTCTAAAAGTGTGCATAATTTCTGTTATAATACCATTATTTGTTGGATTGGTGGATTATAATTAATCGTGTTGTATTTCAAGATTATTCTGCTCCGGAAAAAGAATTGCACTATTCGTTCACTAATTTTATCTTCGTGTACTTTCGTCTTTTAATTATTTTCGGTTTACAATTAGTACGTACACTAACTCTTTTTTGTTGGTAATTTTAGTTCAAAATGACATTTTGGTGCCCATTTTCGCCAAAATAGCTGATGTGGCGCCCAGCCAAATTGGTATTTCCATTCCCGGCGTGATGTGGCACGAGGTGGACCCAACTGTTATGACACACGTGGATTATTTTAATTATATATCCTTTTTCATTTGCATGCTGACGTGGAATTTTAGTATTTCGCTAATTTGATTATTTAATTAGGTGGCTAGAATAATAATGCTTGATAAACTAGCGTTATTTAATAATAATAACTACAACATTTACCTTCAAATTTCGTTCTATTTTTATATTTATAAGCTTTTTATTTTCTTAATTACAAATATATTAACTTTAAAGTTTATGAATGGTTGAATTTTAGCTTATTTTTTTTCATTGGCTTCTAAATTGAATTATTTATTTTTAATATGTCTAGTTTATAAATAATTATGTATAATTTTATTTTGAATTCGTACTTTATTTTCGAAAAATATAATAAACATGTAAATTAGTCTTTTTAAATAACTGTATTTTTCATGGAGAGCCCAAGATTTATTTTCCACCCCCACATCCAAAGAAAGAAAGAAAGAAAATGGTAGGTATTCTTATGCCTAGCTAACCATTAATTTTTTCTTTAGAAAATATTATACTACAAAATTACGTAAATCCTAGTATGACATTTGATTGTATAAGTATGCATTTTACTCAAACGTATTACGAGTCGATCCGTTTCACGGTTAGATGACTGGCTCTCGCAATAGTTTGTGAAAAAATATAAGAGATACCTACATATGATTGTAGTAGTTTATAAAAATAAATCTTCAGTTTATACTCCAAGAAGAAATCAAGTCATTTTCTTTGAAAAATGTTCCTTAAGTCTCATTACTGACTTTTATTTGATATAAATCCGACCTTAATTTAATATCTTTAAGTTCTACCATTTATTTGACAATTGACAATAATACCATGCTCCCGGATAGATGTAGGCATAAGGCCCAATAGAACAATTGGCCTACCAAATTCTTATAAATTGTCTTTTAAGGTATAATGGGCCGAAATAAATTTAGTTCTGGCGTCTCAAATTCTCAAATTATCCAGCAATCAAACCACACGTGAACAACTTAATCCTATCAGCATGCATCTTCAATCCTGTTCTCTATTCCTAATAACTTCCAACAACTTCTTAAAATTCCTACTCGAGCTCCCGTCCGGCCCGACCGCTTCCAAAGCCTTCTCCCTAAGCCGGCCCACATTCTCCCTCATCCCCTCGTCCGATAACACGCGCCCCAACGCCTCGGCTGTACTCCCATCCTTCCCGAAAACCCCTCCCGGGACCCGAACCCCTATCCTCCACGTGTCCTCCACCATCCTCCCGTTGAGCCGTTGGTCCCCGAAAAACGGGCGGCACACCATCGGGACACGGCCCGCGATGCTCTCCAGTATCGAGTTCCACCCGCAGTGTGTCACGA